ATAGTTTCTGTTTAGGGTAATAAAGGACTTGGAACCTGTCATGACAGCTGCCCAGTGTGACTCTAATTAATGCCACTGAACTCTACACTTAAAAATAGTTACAGTGGCAAACATTATGCTACATTTTACCACAATTTTAAAAATGTAAGGCAAACAACAACAACCTGATGGTGTCCCACCTCTGCCCTATGCCAAGGGACCTTAGACAAATCACTGACGCTGCAAACCTGGGCCTCTCTGCTGCAGAGATAAGAATGCCAAAGGTACAGCGCCAGCATGGAGCTCAGGTGAGATAAGGTGCATGAAAGAGGAAAGCCCTTCATATCCTGTACAAGTTCTGTACCCGGAGGCCGTGATTACTCACGTTCTGAGCTCGCTTGGCTGCTGAATGTGAGCACATAATAGACACAAAACTCACGGCACAGTCTGCAAACAGCAGCAACCCGTTGCCTGTGTGGCCTGCAGCCAGGCCTATAGAGGAACTCCATGTTCACATCCGTTCTGCACATTTTCCCTGGGCCGAGTTGGTGCCATTAGTAAATCTCACACCACAGAGCTTGTTTGCAGTTGCATGTGTATTCCACAAAGGAGGAGCAACATGGAATGACACGCACCCGTGACCACTGGGCTGTAGACATCTCCTGCAAAGGAAGGAGACGTGTGTGCACAGACCCAGGGCCTAGCCTTCTGGGGTGTCTCCCAGAGGCCAGGCTCCCGTGTGTGGGGTGAGCACCTTGTGTTGCCCCTCAGTCCTCAACCCCAACCCCTCTCCTTCTGCCAGTGGGGACCCCTCCTCTCCCACATGAGGACATTGGCCTCCAGGGGGATTGAGTTTAGAGTCCCAAGGTTTCTCCAGAGGAGATAGCGAGAAAGATCACAGGTCCTAACCAGGTGGCACTGTTCTCTTGTTGAACATTAGGAGTTTCACCTACGTCAGCATCAGACAAGGCTGCTCGGGCCCTGTGACAAGGCAAGACAAACTAGAGCCCCTCAGTAGTCATGGCCAAGCAAAAGTGAAACATGAACAGTGTCCAAACTGCTGGCTTTAGCCTTGCTCCATCCTTCCGGCCTTCCAGATAAGAATTACTGAGATAACCATAGAATGCCCCGCACTTCATGACAGCATCCAAGCCACAGAAAAGCCTTCCATTTTGACTCTCCTCCAAATCATCAAACGTGAGATCAGGCCCCATGGAGAGCCCTCACTTGCCCTGTCTTGCAGATGTCCACCACACTCCTCTGCATGAGGAGTGCACCTAGTTTGTTCAGGACAAGGACGTTCCCAGTGGCCCATGCCCGCAGGCAGAACAGTCCCTCTCAGTTGCAGAGCCTGGGCTTTCAGTCTTTAACTGCACCTTCCAAAAAATAGGATACTTAAAACTTAGGGTTGGCTTTGTTTTAGTTTTAACTGCTATGTGGTTCCATCTATTTTGTGGTCCTCTAAAGATACTAATATGTCAGAACCTCTGATCAGCTTGAAATTCTGAAGGGTTTTTCAGCTGCCCTGGAGAAGAGAATCATGCATTTGCTCACCCATGTCTTCATTTTCCATGGCTCTAAGCCGCTCACTTCGAATTTAGGATCCTGGCACACCAGACATAGAAGTGGTCGGGGTAGAACACACTAGGAGATGCTGGGACAGGATGAAAAGAGTGGCTGCCCAGGGCCCTGCCACTGTCAGGGGTCCCTTCACCTGCAGAGCCCAGGAAGCCTTTGTGGTTGAGCTGGGCTCAAGGTAAGATCCCTATAGAGAACAAAGAAGGCCCGAAGGTGGAAAGAGGTGAGCAAAGCCCTGGAAATGTGAAAATCCTGCTGTATTGGGGCTCGTCCTGCAGGGCACTGGGAAGGTTAGGCGAGGAAGGAGTGGAAGTGGGTGAGGCTGGTGGGGAGGATGGAGCAGCACTGGAAGGACCTTGAGTGCCATCCTGAGGCATACACGTTTTAAGCAGAGGACTGGCGTGACCAGCTCCATGTCAGAAAGATCATTCTGTCATGGGCAAGAAGAAAGACTGTTTTAAAACTGACTCATGGAGCTGAAGTTTGAGTGTTCGTTCATGGTCTGGAAGGGGTACTTACTAGTTCTACTGGACTATGAGACAAATGGGCCTTGTGTGCCCAGCCTCGAAGCTTTGCCCTCACTCTGTGGGTGACTAGGGGCCTTTAAAGGGTTTGAACAGGGCAAAGACATGGACACATCTACTAAGGAAACCAAAACTCCCCCCCTACACACACACACAGCATAGTTTGTTCATGTGTGATTCCATGTAGGCATTTTGGAATACTGAAAGTGCTTGGAGACTATATCATGACCTTACCAGAAAGCCAGGTTGGAAATTTCTAGATCAAATGATTTCTTAGCTCTCCTCTCACTCTGACAGCCCCAGATCTGTAACGAGGAAAGGAAAGCTATTGCCAAAGCATATAATGCATCATGATGTCAGACTTTGGGATTATCTGCTGCTTGGGGTTTTCCACACCACAGCTCCCCTTCATTAGTGGGGATAATTGAGAGTTGACTGCAGTTGTTACTGCTCTTGTGATGGGTATTTGAAGCTAAATTCCGGCAAGAAGATGTGTGAATACTTAGCTGCAGAAAGTTAATGCAGCATGGTATTAATTACCCTGCCTGAGCCTGCTGTCGTCTTCTGTTTTGGGGTGTCATTCTCAGTTGGATAAATTAGTTTCCAAAATTAGAATAGAGCAAATTGTAGGGTGAGATCAAGGCAGCCTGACTTCATAAGGTATCCAAAAAGAAGAATGAGCCCAGAACAAATGTCTACCTGGAAAACCTTCTCAAGCATCTCTGAAGCCCCACACAGGCAAAAGGAAATGCTTCTTCCATTTGCTATTCTTGAGCATTCCCAGCTCCACTTTCATTGATCCACCCACCGCTGGATAAGTATACAACAGATTTCATGTTTAACCTTACAACAGTTATTAGAAACAGTTTGAGACATTGGCAGGAAATAGATTGGGCACTTAATAAATCATCTTGCTGTAGATTTTCATCAGTTTGATTTTGAAAGAATAAAGCCAAATGGAAGTATGTTTAAAACAGAGGGATCAGAACAGCAAAAACACCAGAAACCACGTCATAGTCCTCTACAAGTTCAGTGTGCCCTCAGTAAGGACCTTCTGTACTTGATCCCGTGTGTGCTGTGGCAGAAGGGCTGGGGGGAACCTTGAGCAAGGACATGGAAGATGGGCTTCCGTCCTTCCTGTCCTCAGAGGGATGATGGACTGTGCTATTCCTTCCATTTCCAAAGGCAGTGCGAATTCTGCAGATGAAAGGTTGGAGGGACAAACTGGCCCTGCATTACATTACAGAGTCAGGGGTCTCAAAGCAGGGAGCGTTCCTTCTCCCTGCAGGAAGGCACACAGAATGAGTCCTGAGGAAGACACCCTGGATCTGACAACAGAAATCCTACTTTCCACTCTTAGTGTGGTGAGTTAGTGATTGTATGACTCCAGTGAAGCCAAAGCACTGTATGCTGGCTGAGAATCCTGACTTGAACAGTAGTGGGCCTGGACATTGTTTCCTAGCCCACTTGCGCTCTCAGAGTAGAGCAAACAAGGCAACACATTCCACCCTAGAGGTAGTAAAATGACCTTAAGACTACAACTTCTCTGGGCTTCAGTTTTCATTGTAAAATAGGAAGGAAAGTGTAAAAGCTGCTCCTAGCACTGTTAGGCAGATAAAATAAGACAAATAGTGCCTTAGAAACCCTCAAGCATTCTACAGGTGGAAGAGCTCCTGTCCCCCACCCTGAAGCTATTGTAATAAACTGTAAAAACCACCAGACCCTATTTCAGTTGTCATGTTCTAAATTTACTAGCTCTGTGAATATGGACAAGTCACTTCACTTTTCTGTGCCTGATTTCTTACTTGCAAACAATATAAAGCACCTGCCTTCCAAGGTTGTTTTGCTGAGTTAAAAATATAATACTTAGCAGGGCACTGGACACAGTAGATTGCCAATGCACTTGGGAGATTCAAAAAAATAAGCAAATAAAAGGGACCTGTGCACATATGGCAGGAGGCAAGTTAACATATGAAAGATAGCAAAATCAAAATGTCACCGTGCCCACTTAATCCTGACGCAAAGGGAGATGGCACCAAGATCAACTGCACCATAACAGCCTGTGCCTGCCTAAGAGAGGCTGTGGGTTATATCTGTGTGGCCAGTGGTGCTGGGCTGTCTCAGCGTGAGCTGAAGGTTGGCATGGCTTAAACAGGGCCAAACACCATCTCCTGTCACCATGGTTGGATTGCAGGGTTGCTGGTCTGTGCTGGTAAGAATCCCTGTGTGTATCTTGGTGCAGACCCATGCTTGCAGGCTAAGGACCGGCCAAACCTGAGACTCTAGGTGAGTGGAAACGCATTCCAGAGCTTTTGACTTAAGAGTAAAAGGTCCTTGCTGACTGTGCTGCTTGGCAGCTTACCCAATCACCACTGCTCTTGGCAACAAAGTGCTGTGTGAAATACCATATCAGGGATCTCCAAGAAGGCATTTATTAAACTATGTTGAAAAAATGTCCACTGGCTCACTGCAGTGTTACCATTCTCTGAAGACCTGTTACTACCAAGCCCTGAGCTAAATGCTTTTCATAGATTATCTCTAATTAGCACAAGAATCCTGTAGGATAAACTGTATTCTCTCATTTTGAGACTGAGGCTGAGAAAGGGTGTCAGTTGCCCACACCACCCACACCACACAGTGTATCCAGCTCTCGCTACTGTGCCATGCTATTTCTCTAACAGGAATTCGGTCTCAGCATGAAAACAAGGCTAGAATTGGATGTGTAGATTTGTTTTGGTGATACAGATTTTGTTAAAATGGTGTACATGATCAAATAATCCAAAACTAACCTAAGGTCATCCATCATCCACTGTCACCTTTCTGTTGTTAATCTCCAACCCCACTTCCCAAAGCTGTCTCAGAGCGACACTTCCTCCCCCGTGGCAAAGGGCAGGCCTCACTTTGTCCATCTGTCCACAGGAGCCGGAGCCTCTCTATGCGCAGATCAACAGACCTAAGAAATAGCGGCGATGCAAGCTGACGATGGGTGTATCGAGACTGGCATGGAAATCAGTATCGCAACAGGCTCTCTTGTATTCTTCCACTTCATCTCATTCCACAAAGAAATTCACACTTGCCCAATGAAACTCATTTTGAAAAAGGAACAACAATTTTGGCAACCTGTGGCAGATATATATGGCAGCACAAAGGAAGGAAGGAAGGAAGGAAGAAAGAAAAGAAAGAAAGAAAGAAAAAAAGAAAGAAGAGAAAGACCCACAAAAGTATTTTTAAAAGCCACACCCAACATTAAATCATGAATCAAGCAAATGCTTACCCAACAGATATTCTAAGCTCTCCTACCTGGGTTTAAAATGACCCAGAATATAAAATCTTAATTCTGCTTTGTTTTCTCTACTTGTTGGCCACTATAGAGACAGCAGATTTGGAGTGATAGGCATCCGAGAATTACAGCGAGGTTGGCGCTGACTTTTAGGCAGAGTGAGGGCCCCCTGGGCCCACTGTGTCATCATCCACGTGCCTTTCGGCATATGAAGATGTTTGGTCCTCACTCCACAGGGCGCAGTCTGCCATTTCGCTGCTCCTTCCTTTGTCATGTCTGAAAGTTAATGGGTGTACAAATTTTGTATTGCTTTTGACTTTTTTTTTTTTTAGATATGGGTGAAGATGTCTAACTGGGGGGAAAAAAATCCTCTTATAAAGTGAAGTAACTTGAAATCTCGCAAGACAAATAAGTGGTTGATTATTCATTATGGTCAAGAACGTTGCCAAAACAACCCTGTAGCTATTCTGCACCCTGCTGAAGAAAGACAGTTTTCGGTTCAAATCTTCATTCTGTGAGTAGGAAAGGACATCAGATCCCACTGATGAGAAAGATGAAAAATGCATCTAATTTCCTAAGAAGCTCTAAACTCTGAGTACAATAGAATAATATTTTTATTTTTTTCTGATACTTTGCTGCTGTGATACTATGCAGACAAGTGTCTCCTCCACGTGCCATTTTCAAAGAAAAGTCATTTGCCAAATAATTCTGGTAATGTGGTTTTGGATTTCAAAAACCAGCTTTCTGACAGAACAATGGTAACATAAACATTCAGCATAACACACTGATTGTGTGGTCAAAATGGTCCATCTCTATCTCTTTTTGTACATCAGAAAATTCGAATGGGATTTTTATTTTATAACTTTAAAAAAACCTTACCATTAAACTCTTTAAATATTTAAGGGAAATGGCTTTAAGGAGTTCTAATGAAAAAAAATTGTCAGTTTTTTGTAAATATAAATGTTAATGAAAATGCTTTTTAATAATGCCATTACACTGTAGAGAAGGTAGCAGATTGAGTGCAAGGTGTGACAAACTTAATGAATGGGTTCACTTTCCAGATATTACTCTGGAGCATATGGTAGGGAGCTGGAGTTCAGGGACAGCTGGCAGGAGCAATTGGCCAATCAGCAGCCAGAGGACCACCGGAAGGGGAATGGGACTCCATAATCCAGCCCTTCCGCACATCCTGTGTGCAGGACAGGGAAAAGGCAGTTCACATTCAGAAGGCCGGGCCCACAGATTCCAGAACCTCTCCACTCCCACCCATCTGCCCACAAGTCACTGGACTGTTTGTGAAACAGAAGGGTTTAAGCTTCCTGTTTTTACCTTTATGGGACAAAAAGTGCAGTGTTCGGTTCGTATATTTAGCACATGATTTTCATAAAGAATCTATATATTTTTGCCCTACAGAGAATTGTTATACAGGTCAAATGTGTTTTCCTGATGTTCCTATGCAGTCACAGTATATTGCGTTTAGTGGTTGAACGGCAAGAAGCAAACTTTCAAGAGTCACGTAGTTAATTGGATTTGTGGATAATCATTATTACTTTGGAAAGTAGATTTACATTGATATGGCTGATTTAAATAGGCCTGTATGCTTAGGCTCTTCATATCAATAGAAAGGAAAATGATTTGGAAGATCAGTTTTAAAACGATCATATACCTGATGAGACAAAAAAAAAAGGTGATACATCAAAGTGATTGTTATTATTTGGAGCCCACATTTTATACAATCAGGTCACTGGAATCTAATTTTTCTCTGGGGACCAAGCAGATGTCCGTTACAGAATATATGTAAATATCATCCTAACGTGGAAAGTCTTACGAAACAGCGAGTGACCTCTAAATCGGTCACGTGTTGGTGCTGGTGCATAGGATTTCTCCCCGGGAATGTGCATACAGTTTATGCTAAGATAACCCCAACCCCTGAGGGAGAAACAGGGAAAGATGTGTCAACTAAGAAGGCTGTTGCGAAGCCGGTTCAGTTGTGTGCTCGGGAGAGAGGGTAAGGGAGGCAGTCCTGTGGGGAGGTTGCTCTGTGGCTCTGTGGCTCAGTGTCTGTGATTCTGATTCTTTACAAGTGGTGCTATCTTCTCCCTCAATGCGGCTGTCTCAGGTTTGTCCTGAAGTATCATACCGTTATTCCCATTCTTGGGGTTACTTCTGACCCGTGACCAGTGAACTCTAGCTGATGTTGCTGTAGCAGGTGCAACATCTGGAGTTAATTTCAGAGCAGAAGGTGACAGCCCAGTGGACTTGTCATCATCGTTGAACATGATTGAATATGTAACTCGGTCTGAGCTGAAAGAAGATGCCTATGTGATGCGTTCCAGGGAGGAAAATAAAGACAAGATTTGAAACTGCCCCCTTGGCAGAATTCAGCTTTTTTTTTTTCCAAGCACTGTTTGATGAGCCCTGAATCACCACATCTTATCCCAGGAATACAGTGACATTTCCAAACAAGAGCTGAGGTGCCAACACCAAAAGACCGTGGGGAGTCTGCACAGTTCTGGTTAGATCAATAGAAAACCCATGTACACAGCTGTTAATTCCTCATCCTTCACTAGCACTAAATTTGTCACTTTAAATTTTGAAACCAGGGAAACGTCACCTGTCATTCTGTCCCCATTCCCCATAGCTCTTCAATCTTTACATGCCCTGAGACTTTTTTGATAGCTCATTTTCATCCCAGTGTCTATTGAAACCCCATCATGTAACGTACTGGGCACCTTCTTTTGAAAAAAAAAATGTTTACTCTGTGGGTTTGGTTCATTTCAATTTCTGCGTTCTGACACATATTTTTTTAATAAAGATGAGAAAGAGAAAATGACTGTTGCAGTACATTTCTAGACCTACTTTAACTTTACCTCAGATGACAGTTTGTTAACATATATGGACACATTATTTTTAACTTTATGTACAACGCATTCAACAGAACAGCAAAATTTTTAGAAATTTTCCATTAATTTCTGTAACACGCCATGTAAACTGTTACAAATAAACATGTTTGAGAACAACAGTTTAGCCTGGTTTTGTTCCACAAGTTTCCACTGGATAATCAGGTAATGGATTTGAAGAGATAACTTCTGTCTGAGTTTCCGTCTGACCAGAGAGTGGCCTCTATCTCCCATGCTCTGGGCTGGAAACAGCAAACTCCACTGAGATGTTAGATCACTTCATCCTCCATCCTCCACTGAATCCAGGCACTTGCTGGCCAGAAGATGTTGTTAGGACCAGCAAGCCTTGTGTAGGTGTGGGGTTGGCCACATGGAGCACGGAACTTTCAGAGATGGGAAAGACCCCTGTGGATGGGTGTCTCCTTAAAAAAAAATCTACTAAACTAGATTGGGAAACCAAGGTTGATCTAGACCAGTGGTAGATACCTGTGGCAAGCATACCACACAGGCACACAAGCTAGGTTACCCAAGCAGCCAAGCATCGGATATTCAGATTGAATTTCAGTGTTGGCACTTTGCAATAAATAAATGGGTTTTGGGTTGCACTTTGGGCACCTGGTCTCTAAAAGGTGCACCATCAGTGTTCTAGACTGTCCAGGGGTTCCTCATCTTTCATTTCAAGGACATCTGCTTGAGGGGCTTAAGGAAGGAAAATTTTGTGTTCCTTCACATTTGCTACATGTTCACATTTGTTTTAAAGTCTGAACCTGGATTTTGACTTCTTTGTGTATTGAAGAACAAAAAAATGTATATGTGTATATATATGTGTGTGTGTATATTTGTGTGATTTTTATTTGCTTTTGTAAATAAATGTTTATCCATCCAATAATCAGCCAGTTTATAGGCAGCAGTTACCATAGGTCATTGAGATGTCAAAAAAAAAAAAAAATCTGTCTGTAAAGGGTTACATCAATACACACCTTTAATCTGGCCTTATAGGTGCCTGATAGGTTCTAGACACTTTGTGTCCATCGCTTCAGTTAATTTTCTAAAGAATCTGAAAGAAAAAAATACCAGTATGTAAGGAACTGAGATTAACTTCCCCATCTAGCAAATGATAGAGTTGAGATTTCAATTTTGAGTCTCTACTTACAGTTGATTCCAGTTTTAAAAATAGTTGGTTATTCACGTTTTAAATAGGCCTACATAATTTGCTGAAAAACAATGACCGCCTATGTCAATTTTCTAGACCTCTAGTTACTCTTTGATCATAATTTAGATTTCTGAGTTTCTCCAAGTTAAAGTAACAGTAAAAATCCATTAGCTTCTACTATCTTAACTTGCTAAATACACAGTTGCTTCTTTTTTTTTTTTTTTTTTTTTTTTTGGTTTTTCTCCGGTACCGGGAACTGAACTCACGACCTTGCGCTTGCCAGGCAGGCGTTTTTTCCGCTGAGCTAAATCCCCAGCCCCCACAGTTGCTTCTTTAATCACCACCTTAGAAGAGGTTATGTGTATGTATATCACACACACACACACACACACACACACACACACACACACATATGCTCTCAAGTGATAATAAATCTACCCAGCTCATTCAAGTTTAGCTGAAAGTAGTGCTAGGGGTTTACTTTGCTATCCTAAATGAATCTTATAGAAGTGACAAATTAAAAGGTATCCTATTTAACTGTTAGGCGTATGCCAAAATAAGTCAGGCAGACATCTGCCTTCATTTTGTGCTTGAGAGCAAACCCTTGTTGTTTTGACAGTAAATGTTTTTTGTTTTACTCAGAATGACAGTAGGAAAAATGCCTAGAATAGAAACAGGTTTCATTGAAATCAACCTTCAAAGCTTTGAAAGCTTTTAAAAGATGTTGAAATTCAAGGGAAATGGGAGCGATGGTGCCTGAAAGATTAAGAGACAGAGAGAGACACACACAGAGAGAGACAGAGAGACATAACAGATGTAAATCTTTCAAGCCAGTGACCAGTTCTCAGTACTGGTGTTAAAATATGAATAATAGTCACCACTGTGTGATCCTGCTTGGTCCAGACCTCTCATTTTCCAGCTGCTCTTTGCAAATTTTTATGCAAACTCCAAGGGAAAAGAAACATGCTCTCCATTTTACAGGGAAAGAAGCTCAAACTCAGAGAAAGGCTACAGAACAGCTATAGATTAACAGAGCAAAGACGTCCCCAAGAGGCTGTCTCGTCTCCAGGGTCTGAAGCATGAGCCTCCCTCCTCTACTCTATGGCATTTCTTTCTGACAATGTCAAATTGCTCATGCCGCTTCTGTAAAATACTTTGAGCCATTCTGTATTCAATTCCAAGTTGTGTTTATTAGATCAGAAAAATCGCACCATGCGTTAACCCTCACTGGTTGAGTACAAAAATTGATTCTTAAGTAAAGTGACTGTAGTTACTTTAAAACAAAGAGAAAATCCAGTCTAATTCTCAAGAACAGTAATAGCTCTGACCCAGGCTAATGAATAATTAATTTCAAAACAAAACCCTCACGTTCCCTTTATCTTCCAAGGTACAGAGATCTGAAGAAGGAGCCTTTTTGAACAGGCTTTCTGTCCATTCTTTGCTGAAGAATGTTAATGATTGCCAAGTGGCAAGTGTCTAAATATTCTTGCAAGACGGCGGCCTCTGGTGACTTGGGTTTTTAATCTTCTGAACAACCTCATGCCACTTCTGTCGCTCACACTGGGGTCACAGCCTGGAGTGGGGAACCAGCGGGAATGGCTGAAGATGGAATAAGCAGGTCTTAGAGCTGGCACGCTGTCAGGAGGAAAAGGCCAAGCTGTCTTTCTTCCTACTGTGCTTTCAGCAACTCTCCTGCACCTCACCTTTGGGTGAGTGCTAGAGAACCATGAGGTCTACCTCATTTCAGATTACAGGTCAGAGTGACTCACCTATAGCTTAGGGCCTGAGCTCAAGAACCACAGAACTTAGTTATTAAAGGAAAGTTGTTTCCGCTTACCTATCTTGTGCCATTTCTGATCTTC